TTATTGAATTGATTGTAATACTACAAGAAAATCTTTAAATTACATTAAAAAAAAAAGTTATTTATGTATTTTACATCTATCGTAGTTCCTTCCAAAATATTAAAAATATTTTCACTTATACATATATATTACGTGTTTTACACCTAACATTAATCGATGTTGAATTTCTCGAAAAATATCTTTCCTTCATTGTTTTTTCTTTCCACTTTGTACTTATAGAAAACGTATAAAAGGAAGATAAAGGGTACGTAGAAATAGAAAATGAAAGAGAAATAGAAAAAGAAAAAGAAAAAGATTGGAAGGAAGGTGCATAAACCGTGAAGAGGACTCTATTTTTCCTTCTTTCATTAACGGCAACGCATCGTAAGAATCTTTCGAGTCTTTCGAAATCAACCCAAGCAACGTCTGGGGTTCTTCTCTTTTCGCTTCTCTTGTTCTTCCATTTCCTCCTCCTCCACCTCTTCCTCCTCCTCATCCTTCTTCTTCCTCTCTTAGTTTTCTTATTTTACAATTAGCTATATATTTACCGTATATACTTATATTCACCATCAAACGTATATAAAAACACTATTACTTATATTAGTAGATGCATTTTAATATACATGTGTATGCGTATATGTGTATATATATAAATACACACATATACATAGCCTAACTCCGATTTGAGCTTGAATATCGTTCATAGAAGCCGGAACACACCGTGCGTGCACTAACCTCGACTGCTCTACTTTCCGTGTTTGCGATCTTTCTTCATCTACTTTTTCTTCTTCTTCTTCTACTACTACTACTACTACTACTTTATTCCTCTCCTTTCTTTTTTTTTTCTTTCCCCTAGTTACGAACGTCGTCGGCACCATCGTCTTATTCTTTTTTCTTTTTTTTCTCTCTTAAAAAGAAGATTTCAAACGCTCGACGAGATGCATGCATGCACTTTTGTATGCCTTTACGAAGGGTACCTCTCCTCCCCCCCCCTCTTCCCCCTCCTCCTTTCGCCTAAACCCTAACCCTTCTTACTACCTTTTTATCTACTTTTTCCTTTTCTTTTTTTTTTTTATTTCCACGCGAAGGGTTCCTCTTCCATCCTCAAACACCACCACCACCACCACCACCACAACCACCACCGTATCGCGAATTTTTCTATTTAAATTCGGTATATGTATTCCTATTTCGTCTCGTTAAGGGAGGATCGTCCCTTTTTCTTTTTTTCTTTTTCTTTTCACAAAGATTATTCAACGAACTATCGAAAATAAGAGAACAAATTATTGGAATAGATGACAACGACACGGCAAAGTTCGTATAATTACGCGTGTGTGTGTATATATATATATATATATTATATATGTGTGGGAATATTTTTCTATTTTTTTCTATTTTTTTTTTTATTTGCAAACGTGAAAATTAATCGAGATAAGTGCTCGTAACGAACAAAAGAAACGCTTTCGACGATACGTCATCCGTCAACGGATTTTTCTTTTCTTTTCTTTCTTTCTTTCTTTTTATCTCTCTCTCTGTCTCTCTCTCTCTCTTTCTCTCGATTTAATTCCCGAGACGGAATCGATAGAAAGATTTCTCTATCTCTTTCTCTCTTTGATTGTTTCCCTCACCCCCCCCCTCCCCTCCCCCTTGTCACCACCCATCTATCCGCTTATTCCTACTTGAGAGACAATTTTTTTTCCTACTTTTTGTTATTTGTTTCTTTTTTTTTTTTTTCTTATTTTATCCTTTATTTTTCTGCAGGATCGAAGAAGAATGCCGATAAAGAGCGTGTTACTATCGAGAAAGAGAGTTTACAATCTTTTTATTTTTCTCATTTCTTTTTTTTTTTTGTTATCTTCCAACTTGAGAAGGAAAGAAAGAGAGAGAGAGAGAGAGAGAGAGAAGAGAAAACACAAAAAAAATGCAAATGTGACGCAGCTTTAAACGATTTTTTTCTCGGCAGGACTATTTCCAACCCCCTCCCCCCAGTCCCGTCAAAGGGAGAATGAGAATTTCAAATCCGATGGAACACGGATGACAGTGCCCCCGAGGAAAATAGATAAAATAGATAAAAAAAAAGAAAAAAGGGAATAAAGAAGAATAGTGAAAATCAATGTGGAATGACAGAATCGTTTTTTCATTCTTTTTCTTTCATTTTTTTTAACTCTTTCATCACATTTTTGTTATTACTAATGCAAAGAACGTAGTAATGCTTTGGAAGAAGCAAAGTGCAAGTTAAAACGTTTGATCAAATTCGTAGGACTCAGTTTTCTTTGTTATTGCAAAACCCTTTTCTACCTTTTGTAATAATGGTAGAACACGTTAAACGAAAGAATTGCTCAAGGCACGTGAACTTATATTCGCAAGGAGAATCATTCCCGTGATTACAGGATTCTATACGTGCACTAATATAAATAAATTGTTTTATTTTATTTATTAATACGAATTCATTCGAATGATCAACGAAAACAAAATTAAAAGAAATAATATCGATCAATATATATTTTATTCAATTTTATCAATATTTATTTTATTGTTAATATAATCAAGATTTTTTTTTTCTTATCCAAAATTTATTAATATTATTACTAAGTTTACTCTTAGGGAAGTTATTTTTTGGACGGGTTTAATTAAGATGAACACTATATTTATCCGTTGAACGTTTCGTCTCTATTTGAGACTTCCTCAGCAACTAAAATTATTTATTATGACATATTATTTTATATACAAATACCAAAAAGAGAGGTTACAATAATAATAAAGACATCTAAATTAGGAAACACCAGCTTAGAGGTAACCAGTAGTGTTCGAAAAGTTATAGTAGAATAACGTTTTTTTTTAAAAATTGACTCTATTTATAAGATAGTGAAAACTTATGACTGTAATAAAAATGATGTTATATTGACTTATGAACATAACTATCAAGGTAAAATAACGCTATGAATTGTAAGTTCTTTTTGGTATTTGTATATAAAATAATATGTCATAATAAATAATTTTAGTTGCTGAGGAAGTCTCAAATAGAGACGAAACGTTCAACGGATAAATATAGTGTTCATCTTAATTAAATCCGTCCAAAAAACAACTTCCCTAAGAGTAAACTTAGTAATAATTTATTTTATTATTATTTAATTAATTAAAACGATGTGTGAACAAGTAAGTTACTCGAGTAAGCGACTATAGTGGTGCAAGGACCTGAAAAAAATATTCGAAAAAGCCACCACCAAAAAGTTGGCATGAAATCTCAACAGCAGAAAATATAATAATTAAAACAAAATATCTATATAAGATTTCTAATTGTTGTTTGTTTTTAAATGTATATAGAATTTAATTACACATTCACTTTGTGTACATTAATTGCTATTAAAAGTTACTAGGAAATAAGAAAGTTTAAAATATATGGGTGTAGGGGTTTAGATAGGGGGTTCACGGGACTTAAATATATTTAAAGGATATTTATTGAATATAATTAACAATTATTTCTATGGTAAATTACCATCAGATCTCGGTCGGTAAAATAAAGGTAGAGCACTACTATTACCGATATCCGCTTAGCAAGGTTACTAGAATTTCAATATATTTTAAACTTTTTTATTTTTATTAATTTAACTTTTAATATTAAATTAATTAAATTCTATATACATTTAAAAACAAACAACAATTAGTAATCTTATATAGATATTTGGTTTTAATTATTATTAATCAAAGTAGTTTACTCGTTAAGAACGATTACCTTAGAACAGGTACAAGAAAAAAAGACTTACTATATTAACAAAAAAAATCGATATCATATTCATATTTAAGTGAATTGTTAAAGTTTAAGTATGTACAATATATTTTTAAGAAAAATTATAATTTAATCATTAAAGAGAATCCTTACGTAAAACTTTACGAACTTTATATATATATATATAATTAAAGGTTTTGTAGGATAAATTATGATAATATTATAATACTCTTACAATACTTTACTTTATCATACATAAAATCGTAAGATGACACGTTACATTTAATCATTAGCTTATGTAAACGCAAAAAAAATATTGAACAGAAATGCGATTCGTTAAAAATATTCGAAAGAAGAATCGCTTAACCACTCTTGTTATGACAACCGTTCATAAATTCACGTTTTCAAATGGTACGTGTAAATAATTCGACGTGGAAACGTAACTCGAAACGAAATTATTCGACAAAATTTCTCTCGCGATACATTTTGTGTGTCTTTGTCTATTTTTTTTTTCACATAGATATTATATGTACACTAACTTGATTTATTAATCATTTTCTACAGTGTTGATAGATTTCCAAATAATCTGGAATATGTAATGCAACAATACATTACTCGCACTTTCCAAATATTTTTGCTAATGCATTATACAATTGTTTGTTTTTCTTGGCGCATATTTTAAATCTTTGAGAATTCTGTTTCTTTTTGTTTATTTTTTTGTTTAGTTGTTGCGAGTAATTGCTTTGATCGTAAAAGAAAATTAAAATCTACGTTTTGAACGTGTCTTTCCCAACGCAAAAAAAAATGGTTAAATAACATTGATATATTATTTTACATTAATATTTAATATACTTATACTTATATGTCTCATATATATTTATAATGAAATAAGTAGACAAATAATATATTTATATATATATATATAGAGAGAGAAAGAGAGAGAGCGAGAGAAAAAATAGAAATATTCATAAGTATTAGAAAAGATAGAAAAATTAATGGCGAAATTTTGTCATCGAGATATACACCGAGATGCAAATTTATTAATGACCATGATAAAGATCTATCGTTAGTTATGATTCATATAAGAGGAAAGAAAAATCGTGAAAGTATGCGTTGGAAAATGTTCATTATCTTCCATGTTGAAAAAAAGTCTTGATGATGTGAAAATGCGCGTAGAGATGTTTTAAACGTAGTAGTCATTATTTTGTCATTCAATCATCTTGAATAAAGCGCAAGAGAATACCATTCCAAAGAACTGAAAAGGAAAAAAAAAATCAACACACGATCAGTAAAGAAAAATTAAATGATGTTATATAATTTCATTCTTTTAATAAATAATTGTGATAGAAACAAAAAAAACAATGTTAGTTATCGTAATAAGCTGTATTACTCATATAAGTAGATTATATAAATTATATCATTATAAATACTAATGTCATAATAAAAAAAAAAAAAAAATGGTAGACGTGACATTGAGAAAGAAATCAATGGACAATACTTACCATGAGACACGCAACAGCTATACCAGCACCTCCCATAACAGCTGCATGCTGTTGCATATAAATTTGTGTTCTATTTAGGCAACCTTCCAGATAAGCATTCGATGGGTTTACTGTATCGGTACCGGCACTGCAGTTAAATCGCTACAAGCATATCAAATGGTAAATAAATAACCAACGTATCGTTTGAGAAAGTTTAATCGAGTGAAAGCGTGAGAAAGTTGTATAAAATAGAAGAAGAAGAAGTAGAAGAAGAAAAATAGTAGGATGATTAAATAATCAAAAGAAGAAAATAAAAATGATGTTGTTTGAAATGTGAGATGACGGATATAAAAGTGGATGGTTGATATTTAGAAACATGGCAATGATATTATAAATTCACCACTGATCATGATGAATCATAATTTAGTAATAGTTATCATTGCATGATGAAGGACATCTGTTTAACCGGTTGCAATGGACACGTTCATTGAATAAAATTATTTTTCTCGATAACAATACACTTAGAATTTATAATTACGTATTAACATACCTGTCCAGGTTGAACCTCGCGACAACAACTTTGGGGTACACGAAGACCATGATGTCCCCAATCTCTCCAGGTATGTACACCGCAACAATGAAGCTAATATTTGAAAATATAAATATATATATATCTAATAATATCATCTATTTTATATATTTGATATCAAAATATATATACTATAATGTATAATATAAAAATTCTTATTCGTTATTATATTATATATTCATTATAATTATTATTCACACCTGAGTTTGCGTAGTATCCCAGGTATCTCGGACAGATTTTCGATGATCGTAAAGTCTCAAACTACCAGACATCTCTCGTTCCAACGTGTTAACCAATTTTTCACTGAACACATACCCAAGAATACCGCCGATAAGAATCGTCACGAACAGCAGGAATACGATTATGAAATACTAAGAAATGATAATAATAATAATCATTGTTACGTTTTGTGTTAGATCAGCAGGAAAGAAAAAAGGAGAGAGAAAATAAAGGAAATAATTTGGATTTAATTAAAGGACTCACTGTGACCAGCATACACTTGACTTCACGTGACGCACCAACACATCCGAAGAAAGCGATAATTGATACCAAAATTCCGCCAGCTAATAAAACATAAACGGTACCTGTTAACAAATCGTTTCCTATCAAATCACCGATATAAGGTACTTTGTCGACAAACGCCCATATTGCTAAACCAGTTATAACAACACCGCCAATCTAAAATTAATACAAATTAAATTCGATATAACGATTGATCATTCATTTTAAATGGATTATTATCTTTAATTGTTAGATATCAAAGATATATATTATATTTATATTATTACTTACAAAGATAATGAAATTTGTGAAGAATAAAGAATATTTCATAAAACGGCCGCAACCGTCCATCTCTGTACCGTATCCCATATTTGTTCAATCTTTTGATCTACTAAAACAACAATAATTACAATAATTAAACGTGAGAATAGTAAATTGTACTTTCAAAATGATGTTGAAACTAATCGGGTAACTCGTAATACGTGTACACACACATAGATACACAGTTATTATAAATCCATAGTGAATAGATTTTTTTTAAAGGAACAAACAATTTTTTTCCTTCTTTTTTGACGTTGAATTATATTCTATGACACTGTACGACGTGATTGTTCTTAAAAAAAAAAACTCCAGGAATACATTGTATTCTCAAAAATTGACTATAAGTTACTCGAATTAGTATCGATCATTGTAATAATTCTGACGTCATTTTAATTCACGAAGTCTCGACAAAAATATTCCAACAGGTATTTCCGTTTACTCGTTTAAAACAAATTTGTCTTAGTAATCTAATCGACCAATTATTTTCATTTCCGTTAGGGGTTATTACGAAAGAAGATACTTTGTAATTTAAACACGTGAAAGAAATCTTAAACTTCCTAGTCGATTAATTACATTAAATATTCTTTTGATTAGATCGTTACATTATATTATTATATTCTTAATGGAATGAGAAACGTTGCTAAAAAAAAAAATATATATATCAAAACGATCCGTGTTTTGTAACTTAAGAATCAGCGATAAGAATAAATAGTTTCAAGGTGATATCAAATAAATATTCCGAAGAGACACCATTAAGTAGACCGATATAAATCGATGAAATAAATTTATTTGGAAAATCACGTTTTAATATTCGTAATTAATTCAATTCTTTAATTGATTACTCGTAACTCCTACGATATTATTTTCGTATTAGTTTATTAGTTTAATTATTTCATATTAAATTTCAATCAAATAACTGTGAATGAGAGATTAATAATGTTAAATCAAAATTATATATTATTGAAAATAAATCTTAAATTAGTTATTTCTCTCGTCTCTCGTCCAAAAATAAAATTATTAATAAATAAGTATCGTAGAGAATTTAGACATTAAAAAGAACTAGAACTTAGTTTTGATTAATTGTGTTAAATTAATTGTTGTAGGGAATTTGGACATTAAAAAGAACTAGAACTTAGTTTTGATTAAATTTAATTAATTGTGTTAAATTAATCAAAACTAAGTTCTAGTTAAATTTAATTAATTATGTTAAATTAATCAAAACTAAGTTCTAGTTCTTTTTAATTTCCAAATTCCCTACGATACTTATTTATAAATAAATAATATTATCACGATAATATTTAAAACACACATACGCATAAATATATTAAAATAATGTTATTAATATATATTTGATCATTATTAATTAGAATATTAAAACGATAATAAATTGATTAATATAACGTTGATTTATATTATAGATTTCAACCAAATTTTTTTTCTATTCATTTCAAAATGAATCATAATAATGATATAACGTAACGATACACGTGTAACACGTTACTAGCATAAGCATGTTAACGTTCACGCAAGAGAGTGTTGCCTTAAAAAGACGTTGTAAAAGAGAGAAAAAGAGAGAGAAACAGATAGAGGGAGAAAGTGGATTCTCCCTTTACATTAAGTAATCCATGGCCACTATAAAGTCTAAAGAATAAAAGTAGGGTAGTGGTGCATATACATATATATATATATATATATATATGCGTGACATCATCATCAAGCTTGTTGTATCCTTCCTCGTATTATTGCGTGGAGGACACGAATTAATAACGATGACAATTTCATTTTGTTATCATCCCCATAAGATTATTATTGGCCATTCGTTAATTCCTAATTTTACTACAGCATTAAATAAATGTTTATTAGCGAGGAATTTAATTTAATTATCCAAAAAGGAAAATTTGATTATCAAAATGATATCCTATTGAAGTATTTGTTTTTTATTTTAATTGTAAAACAAAGAATACGAAAAAATGGCAAAAAAATGATGCTTCGCGTTGACAGCTATCTAAAAATTTAAATGTTCAATTTTTGTTGAGCTAATGTAAGTGTAATTTGCATAGAAGAGGAAAAAAACATTGCGCGGTTTCAAGAATGTAAACAAATTGATCAATCAAATGGTGAATCACAATGCTCGACAACTGCTACTTTTCGAGAAAAATCGTGGAAAATTTCAGAATATATTCTCAAATATATGTGTAAAATATAATCTCACAATATCAATCAATTATATAAATTCCTTATGTGTTAAAAAAATTCATGAAATTCACACCTATATCTTTACCACTTCAAAATTTTCTATTATTCTTCTCATTTTTTCTTTTATTTCTCTAACGTTGTTTCAAATCTACGCAAGCGTTGTATTATTATTTCGAACGAACACGTTACAATTAATAAATAGCTTGATTGAGTCATCGGTAGTTGAGAAAGAGAGATAGAAAATCCTTCGTGTATAAAATCTCTTCAACGTGACATCATACCACGCGTTGTATGCAATTATCGATTAAGAAGAATTTCCAAAGGTACACGCAATTAATAATAAAAATAAAGATTAGGAATTTTAATCTAAAAGGATTTACAATTTATCGAATATCTTACAAAATAAGTTTGCCAATTAAATTTGTATCGTTGAAGATAACGTTTGTTTTCTTTTTATTTTTTTTTGATCACATAAAAAGGTTGGAAAAATCCATGATTTTATTATTATAGTTGAAGAAACAATTTTGAAATCTACGTCGAAATTCGATATCGATAAAAATAAGTAGTACAAGAAAAGAAAATAAAAGTAAAGAAAGAATTCTTGTAAGTGTGACGTCTTGTGTAGTAGCACACCTGTGTCCCAGACACGTGGAAGAACAAGCATGCGCGGGAGTTTCGAAAGAGAGAAATGGATGAGAGAAAAGTAAAACAAAACCTGACTGACTTCTCTTTGCAAAAATATTGTTTACATTGGCTAGCTTTAAAACAACCCTTACGCTTCGATAACGCGTTTTAATTCGTCATAAGTTTTTCATACCAAACCGCATAATTACGTGAGCTACGTCATGCAAATAAAATTATATTATTAACCATCGTTTAACCACTATTTTATTTTTTTTTTCATTACACGTTACAATGATTGAGTATTCTTCTTTTAATTTTGCATTACACGTGATATTAGAACTTTAGATTGTGGATAAGTAAAAAAGAAATAATTATTATAATGATAATATCATTTTGTATAATTACATATATATGTATATAAAGGATTTAATTAAACCAATTAAATAATATTTTTCCATAAATCCATGTTTAGTATACAAATATAAATTTGTTTATCATTTGTTTTCCACTTTTCTTCTCTTACGTTTATTCTTTTTTTATTTCATTTAACATTATATTATTATTTTTTGTTATCGAATGAATTATTCTTTTACGAAATAAATAATGATTTATTTTTCTGTGTGAAGGGAACTTAAAATTCTAATCGGTCGGTATTAAAGTGATCGTAGGCGCCGATTATTAATGAACTGCATAAAAAGGGGACTCTTTTTTTGTTCTTCGATGCAACGGATTTGGCTTCAATTGAAATCTATCAGAAATTCTATAGAAATATCTGAAACGGTTTTCGAAAGTCGTCGACAACACAAATTTAGATATTCTACGAAAAGTATTAGAATCCGAATTCAGTTTTAAGCCACGTTCACAATAAATCTTTTCAACACAAACTATACTTATTCAACATTATGTATAATAATAATAATAATAATCTATAATAAACGCGTCAGAAATTAGGGAAATTATTTTTAATTATAAATAATGAAACTAATTCAAACTTATCAACGAGTTATACGATTATTTGAAATGTTGAAAAAAAAAAAAAACAAATGCTTTAGTGACTCACCGTATACGCAACTTTAATATCAAAAATTAATAATTAATCTTAATTGTAGATATATTTATAAAAAAACTGTATGATGAACACTTACATCGAATTTATAGAATTATTAAATGAATTCTTATGAAAATGTCGATGTGAACGCTGCTTTAAGTTACAAACGACGACGATTTCTCGACGATAACCAGCAAGGTACTACCAGTATACTAAGCGTGGAACAAGATGGAAGTAAAACCGATTCTCTGAGGTTCGTACGTTTAATAATAAAACCGTACAATGTAATCGTCACAAATTTCACACTTCCAGAAACAAAAAAAAACACAAATAAATTCAAACACTAAACTCACGATCCAAAAATTGAAATAAAGGAATAACAAAATTGGATTAAAACAATAGCCAAACCTTCTTACTCACTTTCAACTCTCTTTTTCTCTCTCTCTCTCTCTCTCTCTCACACACACTCTCTCTGTCTCTCTCTCTATTTTTTTTTTTAAATTTCCACTATACTCGTGATGATTTTCACACTTCGATTTTATTATCGAATAATGCAATAAACAAAATGTATGATCATCTTGAAAAATCATACTCGTTTCCTTCTCCTCCTGTTTTGTTTTTTATTTGCCGGTATTCTTGACCCTTTTCAGACGATATCCAATAAGGTTTCAACCGGTGTTCGAAATTTCAAACACTTGTTCTCTTTATCACTTTTTTCTTCCAAAAAAAAAAATATACACGATAGTATTTGTGTAATATACTTACTCAAAAAGAAACGAGACAATCAATGATGATTAAGTTGACCAAAATTATTTGATTAATCTTTTCTCCTTTTCTCGTTTGTTTGATTTTTTTCTCTCTCTATCTATCTCTCTCTCTCTTTCAATTTTCTTTGAAATGCAATTTGAACGTATTACACAAATTCTCAAAGGAACGATCAACAAGAAAGAAGATGAGAAAAACAACGACGATGACGATATTAACGACGCTCTTTTAGCACTGTTATCTTTGTATGTTAAGTTGAAGTTGAGAATCACATAGAGTAAAATTTACGCTCTCGCTATCCTTCGAGGCCGCCGAAAGTGGGGAACAGTTCTCCTCACGTCCTTTGTGACGAAGACGTGATCTGAAAATGCGTTTTAATGCGCGCGTTCTTCTTCCCCTCTTTCGATTCCCCTTCTATTTCATTTCTCCTTTATTTCTCTCTTCTATTCTCTTTCTCTCTTTCTACATTAAATATACGCAGAGGAGACACACACACCACGAATCAACATTCACTTTTCAAAAAGCCCGCGAACGCAATCGGTTTCGAGGCTTTTTATATATTTCAAATTTTCGTACCAAATTTATATGATTTAATCGAAATGATATAGTACATTTTTATTGGTTCATTTTAAATATCGTAATGTTATTTTGTAAGTACGTTTTTGATTGGTCAATGATGACGAATGGTAATCGATTATCGATTAATTTTTCAAGGGGGAAATTAATGGCGGATGATTTATTCTCAATTCAAATCGCGTAATATTTAAATGTTATTATTTTGTTGTTCTTTCGTAATATATCGTTTGGAATATTTGTATTATATTTGAATGTTATTTTATGTATGCGGAAAAACGAGGACGTCGTGTTACGTTCTATGGTAATCTCGTTATTTTTCTCATTTTCCGATTTCCGAGGACGTGCAAGGTGTGCAATTTGATGAATCGTACCGAAGGATTTTCGTGGTGCGAGTACTCGCTCGTAGTCTGTTATTTCGCTCGAAGATAATTGTTTCAACAGGGTCATGCAATCAAGAGAGAAAGATAGGTTATGAGAAGAGACATCGATAATTTCCTTCTACGTTTTATTTTAACTCTTATAGAGAAATTTCATCGATCACGTTTCACCTATCATAATATTTTTCAAGTTACGAAAAATAGTAATGATAGAACGGAAGGATGATGATGATGATGATACGTTATTATGTTAATTTCAACGTCGATTTCATATATTCAAAAGAAAAAGAAAAAAAAAAAAAAAGGAAATTTCATTGCTTTTGTTAGTTATAATAGACAAATGTTATATGATGAATAAGGGAGAAAATAACTTTCTCCTTTGGATGAAAACCTGACTGAAATATTCTTTACTATTCGTATAAATAATTTCAATTTGGGTGGGTGGATCTTATTTTCTTTCAGCGATATTTTCATATTTTTGCCAATCGAAAAGTCAGATTCCCACGCGATCAGTATAATTCCATTATTTGTTTAAACAGAACTCCGCCCAAGTAATAATCATAAATCTAAATTGGACCAATCAACGATTATACTTCCACTCATTAATCTTTCATAGTAGATTACGGGTGTGACGGTCTTTGGCTAAATTAATTCCTCGCTAAATTTCTACCATTCGATTAAGATAAATACATATGCAGACGTAAATTTCGTAGAATAAATTATACATTGATCAAATATTCAATAATTTTACTATGCTTTTGTGCGTAAAAAATATTAGAATAAACACGATACACTTTTAAACAAATTATTCATTTAAATAAAGAGATCTAGGTTGTATCGTTGTTGATTTGCGATTAATCGAACTATTCGTTACTATCGATCATTATATATGTTGCGTTAAGAAGAGTCTTGTTTCAACCTTTAAGAAACAAAAAGAAAAGTAAGAAATTTAAATAGATAGTATTATTTTGCGTCTATTATCAAAAATCTAAGCGGTCTTGTCCGGAATACAAAATACAAGTCTCCCTGGCTTTCATGGTATCCGCATGACCTACTTTCGAAAACGTTTATGATCTTAGCATTGCAAGGAAAATTATTTTTGGATGGAGCATACACATGTAACATATTCTCTCCGATCAATCGACTTGATAAATTGCATACATATGTAAATACATATATACATATATATAAATTACGTACGAACATGTGTACGTGTCGTACTTGTTGTTCATGAATTCATATAAAAATTCAATCCAGTTATTTATTTCTTAATAATCTGTTTAGAAACGTGATAAGTTCGGAAAATGTTTGCAAGAATATTTGAGTATATGATTTTAATTTAGAATTTGAAATATTATTCTATGTATCCTATGTATCATATATGTGTATGTGTGTGTAATTATTTATTTCTTTTTTTCTTTAAATGAAACGCCTATCGAAATATTAAAATCGTAATTGTAAAAACATGTATATTAATTTAATAAAAAGAAAAACCATTTATAGCAGCGAAGTAGGGGGAGGGGGAAAAAAACAAAATTAAAAAAAAAATAAAGTTTATTCTCGATTGAAAGTTAATCGACGCGCCATCTGACGTTGATCTTGATAATTGATGCAACAACATTTTCAAGATGGTGGCAGACAAGTTAGATTTTAGTAGGCGCGGTTCTTTCGTTCGATTATTCTTTACAATTGCACAGTAGTAAGACATACAAGGATCGTTGAAAAAAAATATTGTAAAAATATTACTCCGTCATAATATCTTAACGGAGCGTTCGAAATTTCTATATTTGATTTATTGTGTCAGCTGATAAAATGTTTACCTACGTTTCACCAAATGCATTGCATATATTTCGTGAAAAAGATATTTTCTAGTTTATACATTTCTATTAAATAATTTGCCAAAAAAGTAATAATAAAAGTGCGATAATTTATAAACTGAAGAATTTCTTTATGCAAGGAAAATTAAAGTGACTGCTATGGAAAAGTTAAAAGATCATGGTTGGTGAGTGACATAGTTGATTGCTTTGTTGTCTCTGAGTTATTTAAATGTATTGTGATATGGTATTGGTATTGAAGTAAACAATGTCTTGTGAAGCTTTCTACTGAAATTCAACTAAATATTTATATTAGGTATCTTTCCAACGATGGATATAATCTTGTCAGTGATTCTGGTAATATCAGCAACACAGAGGAAGTATTAAGACGTTGCTTGGATGTAAGTTTTTCGCATAAGTTCTTGTTTGTACAGCTTGTATGAATATTTTCTTTTCCAATATTTTATACCATTATTATTATAGCTTGATTTAAAAGAAATTGGTAGCGGACAAGGAGACATTCATCAAGGAAATATTGTACTACAAATACAAAAATTACGCAATGTTGCTGCCCCTAAAAGTAATGAAGAATCTCGTGGTGCACCACGCATGTTAAAGATATCTTTAACCGATGGTAAAAATAATTATCAAGCTGTGGAAATTGATCCTCTTCCTTCCATAAGGTAACCGATAATGTAAAGGTATTCAAGCCTGAATTTAAATGTTATTTAATGAGGCTTGTGCATTTGTTTCTTTGTTTTTTATAGCTTGAATACACCTCCCGGTACAAAATTATTACTAAAACCAGGAAGTGTTCCTATATCACATGGAATTATTCTGTTAAGATCTTTGCACATAGGTCAACTATTAGGAGGAAGAGTATCGGGTCTTGTAGAAAAATGGGAATTAAATAAAGTAAATACAAAGTTTACTTTAATTCATATTATAATTTTAAAACTGTATTATACCTAGTTTTAACAAAATATCGATTATTCCTAATAGAAATTAGCAAATCACTCAAGAGTAAGATCTGCAGAGGAAGGTGGTCCTCCACCATGGATACCGTTTGGAAGAGAAATTATGAGAATTTCTGATCAGGACAAAAATTTCAAAGCGTTAGCTGAAAAGGATAAAAGTAGTAAGGAAAATGCTGAATTTGAAGCACAGCGTAAAGATGCGATAGCTGAAGCTGCTAAACAAGGTAGCAAAAAAGTTTTTGGCGGTGGAAATAAGCAGGTTAACATAAAGAATATTAATATTTTCTTAAATTATAATCTATACTTCTTAATTAATTATACTATTATCACTTTATATATTACAGCTACTAGATCATAGTGTACAAAGGATAGTAGAACAAGGATTTTCCGTAGAGCAAGCTGAATATGCTTTGCGTGTTAACAGAAATAATGTTGATAAAGCAATCAAAAGTTTACAAAGAACCAATAATAAAAACAAGTATATTTTATTGTTTTATTTTTGTTTTTTTTATAACTAAAGTAAACTACACAAATTATTAATTATTTTATATTTATAATAGGGATTCAAGAGAACCTAGAGAGCCAAGAGAACCAAGAAGTAAGCGTTTTGATAAAAAATCTGAGGACAGTAAACCAAGCAGTGGAAAAATATCTTTATTTGATTTTCTCGAGGACAAGTTGCCAATTCAACCGGAGCCTTTAGAAACTGCTCAAAATAATTATGTACAAAGTAATGAAAATAATGTTGAACGTCTTGAATCAAAAGCAGATATGCATAGTGCTAGAGGAGGACGGTAAGTATATTATAGAATAATAAAATAATATAGAACAATGATTAGATTCTATATTTTTTGATGCATTATAGGTCTCAAAGAGGTGGTCGTGGGTATCAAGCTCCTCCAAGACATAGTGAAGAAAATAAAGTAAATAAAAGATTAAGTAATAATAATTCTGTTTCTCAGCAATATTCACAGTACAATGGAAATAGTAGTACTCAACAAAGTAAACCACCTAGATTTCAACGAAATCAGGATACACATGGTTACTATCATCAAGATAATGGAAATAGAAGTGGTTCTCAAAAGAATCAACATAATGAATATAAAAATTCTCTTCCTCAATCTCATTCTGGTATTGGGTATACTGAAGACAATGGAAATAATCATAAAAATCAACACGATCAACAGGGAAAAAATCATTCTAGTAATAGGAATTATAACCATTTTGAATCAGAAACTAGGAACAGACATCTTCCTGACAATTCCTATAATAGACATAATCGATCACAAGAGACAGGAAGTAGAGTTTATGGAGCTAATACGTCCGATAGAAATGATAGAAACCATTTAAATAAATATCATTTACATGATAATGCAAATAATAGTAGGGAAAATATTGGATCTACTGCACATAAAAATGAAAATCATCATTTAAATAATCAAAGTACTAATGTTCCTACTAGTAATCCATGGGTGTGGCAAATAGGTGACAAGTGCATGGCTAAATATTGGGAAGATAATAGAGTATGTATTTATTTAATTATTTATTTATATTCTTATATAATTAAATAATTATTTTCATACTCTTTTGATATTTATAGTATTATAATGCTGAAGTGACTGCCGTATCTGAAAAAACCTGCGTTGTACAATTTAAAGGTTTTGAAAATTATGAAGAGGTTCTTCAAGAAGATTGTATACCTATAACTGAAGACATTCATATGGTACGAAATAATTTCACATATTTGAGATATTTCAATATTATGCATTATTAAAGTGTATCTAAAATATATTTTAGGAAAAAAATGATCGAGGAAGGGATCAAAGAGCAAACAACAGGCAAACTCGAAATGAGCCAAGTCAAAATAATATTACAGGTTATTCGTAGTATTATATTTCGAATTGAACTTACTATATATACATATACCTAATGAAAATAATATGTCTAGGTGGTATGGAGTTCCGCAGAGGTGGCAATGGACCTAACTCGGGAAATAAAGGATACAATAAGAAACGTGGTCCAGTACGTAGTACTCAACCGATCTATCAGCCACCTGCACAACGAAATCATTATTCCATGCCAACTAATCTACAAAATAATTCTCTACTCTAATGTGTGTAGTAGCAAAATAATTTTCTTTAGAAAAGATAACGAAAGCTCTACTGAATATTCAGTCATAGTTTTGCTGCTGTTCAAGACTGACTTTATGGAGTACCAAAATGCTTTCCATACATGCAGAACTCAGTTCTCCATGTGCAAGTCCGTAGATTATTTAAGAGATAATTCAAATGACAACATTTTTTCGTGTGGCAAATGATTTGTACTCAAAGTTGAAATTCAATGTGTAATAACTGTATAATTATGATACAAATTGTTTCCTTATGTGGTATGTGAAGAAAATGGAAGCTAAAATAACTTCACAAAAAAAAAATATATATATATATCTATATTAAAATATTATTCCATATTCTCTCCTAATCACATAACACATAATTCAGTTGAAAAAATTAATGTTACCCTTTATATAAAAAAAAGAAAAAAAATGAAAATACATTGTCAATAACACAGTCGTAGAAATAATGAAAAGAAAAGAAAAAAAAAACAAAAGATTCTTTTAAAGTACGTCTCCACTGGAATAATAAAATTAAAAAATTATAACTATTTAATAAATTTAACATTGCATGATATTTTTACGTAGTTACAAGTGATTCTTATTTACCATCTGGTCATATATTATCGTCTAGAATTATAAATAGATAAAAAAAGTGTCGATTAAAATTTACTACCATAGGAACACTGACAAAGAACCTTAACAGCATAAAAAAATGAATAAGTGCTATTATTTGGCAATTATTTGCTCAACTTTATTTTATCAAATATTTTTTATTTATCGTTAATTAGTTAAAAATAATTATTACACTTTGAATAATTATGAAAAGGCGACGTCATGAGTAGGAGATATGTTATACACATGCGCAACCAAACATTCAAGGCGCAAGCACACTTGGAAAAAAATGAAAGTAAAGTTGATATACCTACAGAGGATATATTTAAAGTTGATTTCCAAAGTAACAACAATAAGGTAGTGAAAAGAAATAAGTTAATCATTCATTATGTATAAACAATATTTTCATTTTTTCATTTTTTTCTGCTGTTGCGGTTCTATGCAAAATTTTTTGTGGTGAGGAATATAGAAACTCACAAGTCCCCTTTTTTATCTACCCAGCATCATTTTTGTTACCACTGGGACCACCATTGGACGATAGTATGTACTTAACGCGATGACGGTACAACATTATCAAAGAATGCAATATTCTTTAATAGTATATATAGTATAGTTATATTGTAAAAAAATTAAAAATAATTATAT